AAAGTTTGTCCAATTTGGGTCTAAAAGCTTGGTTCACACATTGTTGTAAGTCAAAATTTGATATATTTGCTTTTGGCTTAGAATGTTGTACAAGTATGGTTTATATATCCTGATTATTGCTGAACAGCCTGCTTTACACAGCAAGCATTATTATCACTATTATTCACATTTATAGACCACTGAACCCCTAAGGACTCTCGGTGGTTTAAAAGTTAAGATGTGTTTAACCACACGTTATTGCACAGTCCACAATTGGCTGTATTTGCATGACAGCAAATTATATACAGGCTTTACAACCCCACACTCTATGGAAGCGAAAGCTGGACTTTGAAGAAGCAGGACAGAAAGATATTGATGCTTTCGAAATACGGTGTTGGAGAATACCGAGGACAGCCAAGGAAACAAACAAATGGATCATCAAACAAATCAACACAGGATTCTCACTAGAAGCACAAATGACCAGGCTCAAATTATCCTACTTCAGAAACATTATGCAAAGACCTAGCTCTCTGAAAGATGGGATGGTGGGAAAAATGGTGGGAAAGATGAAAGGAAAGAGAAGAAGAGGATGATCAGCAGCAAGATGGATGGACTCAGTTACAATGGCCATGGGTGCACCATTAGAAGACTTGAAAGACCAAGTTATGGACAGATTGTGATGGAGAAAATCTATCTATGTGGTGGCTAAGAGTCAACAGTGACTTGATGGCCCATAATCAATCAAACTTCACAAGGCCCAATAGCAGGGTACACAGGACACACTGAACACAAATCAGAGCAATTATATTACATACAAATCTAATCTCTATGTTACAGAGATGGCAGTTTATTCAAACGTTAAGGTTAATGAAAGCAAGTTTAATATAGTACATGAACCAAACCAATGGAAAACTCTAATTAGGGAAAACCTTAGGAAAACAAGGAAGGACTAACTACTTGATAAGAGATAACTTAATGTGCAAGTCTAAAGCACAGCTCCAGTGCTGCAAGCATGGTTCCTTCAATCCACCATTAGATCATTTAAACAAGGGACCCCCCAACCCCCTGGTCCTCAAATTAGCTGGAAGAACTCCAAAAATTCTCAGGCAGAGCAGAATTCACTAGATTGGAGAAAGAAAAGTGAAATTCATCTAGCATTTCAAACCTGGAATGAAATACACAGTGTATTTCAATAGGTGTGGTATGATTCCAAAAAGGAGTAGATTCTTTGGAAGGATTTGGGCTGGGATTTACTCAAAGAAGTAGGTTCTAAAAGCATTCAACATGTAACAAATACATTTGTTCTTATCAATGAACACATCTGCTTATTTTCAATTAGTCCCTGATTTTTCAAGATCAAATGGCCAGTTCATACATCAGGGTAAACCATGGTTTGCTCTAAGCTCTAATGATTAGGTCACAGTGATTGGGTTCACACAACACACTAAGCTGGAACCAAACAGACTGCATTACAATTTAGCACAGCATCCTAACCAACCCAATGGGATTCTATCTGCCAAACTTGAAATGTGGTTGTATCTAGATATCCCTGAGTGACTTACTGATTTTTAACATTCATCTATTTGACATGGTTGTTGTGAAGACAGTTCCTACAAAGGTCATCGTGACCCCTCTGAAACAGCTATGGGATACAAGCATGAACAAGGTAAGAATTTAACATGGGATCTTGGGCAAAAAGGCTCTTAATCTGGAGCCAAGCATCATTTTCTTAGTTCATTTATTTGCTAAGCTAATACAGACTCTCGTACTCATCCCTCATGTCGTGAAAGTGAGGAAGGAAAGATCTGGTTGAAAATCATATGATGTTTAAATGATCTAGTTTGCATTGTGCCAACCTCTAGCTCAAGGCTCTTTGGAAGATCATAAAATTTCTAGTATCAGATAAAGGGAGTTAATAGCAGTCCTGACTTTTTTTTTTTTTTTTTTATCACAAGGCAAACATGCACCAGCTGGGGAACAAACTTTGTAACTTCACTGCAATCCCTCATAGAATCAGCTGATGAACTCACTGGTTTACAATACCACAATGACAACTCATTTTTAAAATGTGGGATAGGTTCGTGATGAGTTGTAAGCTATGACAGCCAGCTATGGAACCTCCACGTTCTCAGCTGCTATATACCAACCAAGCAATTAGGGTTCACTGAAGACCTAGCCTGTACTATTTGACCTGGTTACTGGGACTAGGTGGGTCTGACTTCACAGCACAGCTTAGGTCTCTATTTATTTGCATTACTATATCTGTCAAGCGTCAAAACAGTTGTGATGTCATGACTTGACTACTGCAATGCATTCTACATAGGGCTACTTCTGAAGACTATCTGGAAACTTCAATTAGTGGAAAACATAGCTGTTGGGCTGAGAACCAACACACAGTACCAGGATGATATGATGCCTGGGTTACGCTGACTACCAACTGCTAACTGGGTACAATTTAGGTGTTAGGGTTAGGGTTAGAATTGGAATTTGGAAGGACCACCTTTCCTGCTCCAACCTGTCTAGACAGCCAGAATTCTGGGACTTGAAGTCCACACATCTTAAAGTTGCCAAGGTGGAGAAACCCTGGACTAGACACTACCACTGACACAAGGACATGTTGAACTCGTTCCATGTTACAGAACAGTGTTACATGAAAATTTTCTCTGTGCCAAACCTTTTGAGACAGGCCTTTAAATACTAATCATTTCAGTATTTAAATATTTTAATCTGGTTTCAGGGGTTTTTCTTCTTCTTTTGTATTTCTGTATTTTTTATATATGTAACTAATGTCTTGAGCATTCTGTTCACAGAAAGGCAGGATCTAAAACACAGCCGATCAAAGCAGAACAGAAATAGAATAAATGGCTATTTATAAGACAACGTTGTATACAGCAGTAGATTTGAATAAAGGAATCTTTTTCCCTTCAAAGTTGAGTGCTTGTTCCTTTAATTAATGAGCTCTTAAAAACATAGCTGCCTGACAGTGTGTTTTCACAATTTAGAGGATACCTTTTTCTTCTGCTGCCTTTCTATGCACTATTAACAACTTTCTTTGTTTAAGGGTAATACAGTAATTAATCCTTACATCAGCTTTCAGTTTTAAAGCTAAAGTTCTTTAAAGTACTTTGCTGGTACTCCTTTTAAATGTTTTTAATGATTGCATCAGAAGGAGCATACTGGCAAATAATTTCTATTCTACCTTTCTTGGAGGATGAGTGGGCATTGTTTCTCAACTTTAGCAACTTTAGGATGTGTGGACTTCAATGCCCAGAATTCCCCAGCCGACAAAGATGTGTGGACTTCAACACCCAGAATTCCCCAGCCGACAAAGATGTGTGGACTTCAACACCCAGAATTCCCCAGCCG